GATAGATAGATGGATAGATGGGGTGGTTGGGGATAGATAGATGGATAGATAGATAGATGGGGTGGTTGGGGATAGATAGATAGATAGATAGATGGATAGATGGGGTGGTTGGGGATAGATAGATAGATAGATAGATAGATAGATAGATAGATAGAGTGGTTGGGGATAGATAGATAGATAGATAGATAGATAGAGGGGGTGTATGGGGATAGATAGATAGATAGATAGATAGATAGATAGATAGATAGATAGATAGATAGATGGGGTGGTTGGGGATAGATAGATAGATAGATAGATAGATAGATAGATAGATAGATGGGGTGGTTGGAGATAGATAGATAGATAGATAGATAGAGTGGTTGGGGATAGATAGATAGATAGATAGATGGATAGATAGATAGATGGGGTGTATGGGGATAGATAGATAGATAGATAGATAGATAGATAGAGGGAGTGGTTGGGGATAGATAGATAGATAGATAGATAGATAGATAGATAGATAGATAGATAGATAGATAGATAGATATGTGGAGAGAGAGAGAGAGAGAGAGGTTCCTCTCTTCCACACTCCTCCTCTTCCTCCTCCATTCTCATACCCGTCTCTCATCTCACTGGCCTGCCTGCTTTGCAGTACCTCTACCGTCCAGGTGAGGGCAGCTCCACCCTGGGACTCTTGCCTCTGGCCTCCCTCCCTGGACTCCTGTTCTTCCTGCATTCCCCCAAATACTTGACCCGAGCTCACCCTGCTCACTGCCCGCACTCCTCTGCCCTTCACCCCAGAGGTACACAGACTCCTCTCTTGCCTGCCTCGGCCTGCGTGCCCTCATCAGACAGTGCCAAAGGGGTGGCTCGCCCCCAGGGAGCCCATGATAACGGAGCTGGAAGGGCTGGCGAATGTCACACACGCAGCCCCAACTTTCAGCGCTCTAATTTGCCCATCTTTTAAAAGCTAAATCCAGGTGGCTGGGCTGGCGTGGGGCAGGGAGCTTGGTTTGTGGAGCCATTCACCTGTAGGTCACCTGTCCTTGTTCAGCCCTAGGTCTGTTATGGCGGAGAGCCGTTCCCCTCTGGGTGGCTGACCTATTGTGTCTTAAAATGAGTGGGTGAACTAATTTCCCCCCGGCTTGGTAGGCTCAGCAGAGATGCCACTGATTGAACGGGCCAGGGCGACTGAGCTCCCGGCCCTTCCAGTCAGGGCTGACATGATTGTCAGAGGGCGCGGTGGTGGAGTTTGGGTAGCTGACATCGCTGTACCAGCTGTGGGTATACACAGACCAGTGCATCCCAGAACCTTGTACCAGGGCTAATTTAGTTTAACGTTTTTAAACATCAGCGTCTGGCCTTTGAGAATAATTGAAAACCTAAATCCCATGAAGATCAGGTCAGGACAAAAGTTCACCCTCACCGAGTCGTCCTATTTTAGTTTCATAGGGAGGCTGCCAATAAAATTAGTTAACAGAAGCTCAATTCATGCAAATATTGTTCCTATTTACATGTATTAAAAGACGTCTCCCCCCTCCCCCCCCCGGCCTGAGAACTCCAGCCACCAACTAGCACACACATCACAGTGTGATCCCATTCATTGCTCTACAGTGTCCTTCACACCCAGGGTCACAAAGCACTTCAGAGAGAGATAGGAAGAGAGTGGGACCCATAAACTAAAGAGAAAAGGAAAGGACAGATGCTGGGAGCACCCCAGATAGAGTGAGAACAGACCCAAAGTGTCACCTAGAACCCAACCCTGCCCGAGTAGGAAGCACCAGACCTTGCAGGGGTAAGGCTGCGCTCCGTTTGCAAACTCTAGTGGTCAGGGAAACGTTCAGATTTTGGGGACCTTCTTGGGGTGACCAGACAGCAAATGCAAAAAATCGGGACAAGGGGTGGGGGGTAATAGGAGCCTATATAAGAAAAAGACCCCAAAATCGGGACTGTCCCTATAAAATTGGGACATCTGGTCAACCTGGACCTTCTCCAAGCCTAGCAGAGCACTGGGACCTTTGTGAAGATTGCTATCGCTAGGCGACAGGTAGAGTGACTCCATGGTTTGGAGCAGGAAGGAAGAGCGTTCTCCTGAGAAGGGGATGCCCCAGAGTCAGCGCAGCTCTCAGCCCTGGAGATGCAAGAGCAGGCCAGGGCTGGAGGAGTGCGGGAGGTTGCTGGGTAGAGCAGGTATGATGAGTGCAAACAGAACTGCATTCAGCTACGGCTGGGAAGCTGGTGCACCGGAGATTGGACGGGAGTGGGGAATGATTCGGAAGCGGTGCTGACTTTGTACTAGGACTCACCCGGATACAGTACCCACCAGGAGCAGATCTGAGACCCCCTCGCCCCCAGCACAGCAACCAGACCTGCGATGGTCAGTCTCTGAGTGCAGCCACTCTCCCTCTGCCACCTTCGCTATGGTGCCTGCGTGTGGGCTGAGACCTGCTCCCTGTCTTGAGCCTCACCCACTGGGGGCTGCCTGTTTGTGCACCAGGGCCGGCTCTAACAAGGAGGTTATTGAGGGGAAAGAGCCCAGAGGGAAGAGGGCAGGCGGCTCAGACAGCAGGAGAAGAGCATGGAGGAAACCCCCCAGCCTAGGACAGATTGGAGGGTGGGGGAAGTGAAGTGCTGCCCAACGTCCCCCTGAGCTGGCGAGAGAGGCAGCTAGTAGCACGGGAGCCTGAGAAGGACAATGCCTCAGGGATGGAGATAGGCAGCCCCCAAAGAGGAAGGGTAGGGTTGGGGGACGGAGGGGTGGGGCTGGCCCAAGGAGGAAAATGAAGTTCTGAGTACCCCTAGGCCTGGGGTACCTGAGCCCCCTCCTCAGAGCTCCCCTAGGCCCGGGGTACCTTTGCCTCCCCCCCAGCTCTCTTAGGCCCCGAGTATCTGGGGCCCCCCACCCAGCCCAAGTGCCCTCCTCGCTGTGGTTTTCCATTCTCAGGCCCCCCTTGCACGGAGAGGCCAGAGGGCTCCACATGCTCGGAATCGCTCAGATTCTTCTGCATTATGAAAACACAAAGGCTTCAAACACTTCACATTTCCCCGCGTAGGGAGGATTTAGAGCAGCACCTGATCATGTGTCAGCAGCAATGCCCGGGACCGGCCAGGGAGGGCTACTGGGGCCCAGTGCCAGTGGGAAAAGAGGCTTTGAAGTGGCTGCACTGGGAGGAAGAGGCTGCTGGGTAAAGCATGAGGCATCTTTGCTGGACAAGGAGGTGAGCGTGACTTAGGGTCACAGCACAGCACCAGATCCGCCGGTCACAGTGGGTTTGTTTTCATTCTTAACTGAAACGGAGCCGCAATCGCCCAGGGCCTCTGCCCTGCGCCCTGGTCTCTCACTCACTCTGAATCGTCTCCCTCCGGGGGAATGTTTGTGGTATGCCACATTCTTTCATTTGTTTGTTGCTGGATTAGCTCAGGGACATTGACACAGGCAGAACGGGACTCTGAAAAACACGCACGCACTTGAGAAAACTGGAGATCGAATACTCGAGCTCCGGGAACCCTGCCCCACCTTTATTATCCTGACGGCGAGCGGGCCACTGCCAGCCCCGGCCCTGCGTTCTCTGCTACCCCCAAAGTCCCCGGTGCATCCTCCCAGGCCTGGTGCTGCATTAGAAGCAGAGGCCAGTCTAGTTTCAATGGTTTCCCACACTGAGCGAAGGGCTGAATGTCCCAGCTGCAAAGTGCATTTGTGTTCCAAATCCCATCATGCTGGGTCCTGCCCCAGAGAGCTTCCAGTCTAGAAAACAGGACCTAGGAGGTGGGGGAGGCAAGCGGGTCAGGGCGGGGCTGGGAGAGACAGGGTAACACAAATACTAGGAGGAGCTCAATCCTTAGCCAGCCGGCAGTAGTGATCACAACCCCCTGGGGAAACAAGAGCCAGCTGCGCTCGTGCAAACACAGGCTTTGCCCCACTAGGGATTGTGCCAGTGCAGCTACACTGATGGCCGCAATTGGGCCAAATCACCCATGCGGCCAAGGCCTCAGACAGAATAAGGGGGGTCGCTCAGACTCAACTCTCGGTGTATGATATGATAATGTTCCTCTCTTTCTGTCCCAGGCACGCCAGCTTTCCTCTGCGTCTCTGCAAGCTCCCCCTAGCGGCCACACCCCAAACACTGGGCCAGATTAAAACCCCTTCATTCCCAATAGCACAGGGCCCAGGGGTTGGGCACACTGGCATTGTCAGCAGCCTCTCTCAGGGAGGGGAGGTTGGGCCAGAGGGTGATCAGCTGCTGCTACATGTCAGACTCTGTTTCCTGCTTCCAGCCCAGAACAAAGGTGTCTCACCGGAGCCAGTGCCCTATCAGAACCTTGTAAGATGTACCAGCCCCCAGGAGAGACAGTGTCAGTTCCCCCACATGTCCCGTGGATAAATCCAGATCACCAGGGAATTATCAGTGTTATTAGTAAACTCTGGGAGCAGAGGAGCCTGGGCTGGATTATGGAGCTTTGGTTAATTAATGTTAGGCTAATTCAGGTTGTTCTGTTAGGGAGGGGGTGACCAGCCCTAGATGGGGAGAGGGCCCTCCACTCCCCACCTGT